GAGTAATTTATTAGGAATTCAAAATAAATCCTGAAAGGAGTTACCAACTAATGGAGTATACATCCCATGTACTGAAGACCACAGATAGAATGAACAGTTCTCATTCATCTCCTCACTTGTACATATAGCCAGGCTGCTGGTTCCAATGATTTTTTCTTTAAACATTTATTTTACAGAGACATAGCCACTCCTACCCATAATATACTTAACGTATTATTTCCCCCTCAAGCTGCCCTACAGTAATCCAGCAACAGACTTGGACAACTGCCTGGAAAGACCATATTGAAGAGTAATTCAATCCTGGCCCCATCTGAACCTTGGCCTCTCCAAGGCTGCTGGCAAGTGGGCTAATTAGTAATAATTCGGTGCTTTCTAAAGTGAACTGCAGAGAAACCTGAACTCAAAGAGGGCACGTAGCAGCTTTTAGTCACTAACATGACAACCTAGAATGGTTATAAACCCCATCATTTTCTAACTGCTTCTTTTAAGCCAATGACTAGCGCTCAAAGCAATCTAGTCCGTCTACAGTATGTATCCTCTACAGCTCATACAGAAGTAGCATGCACAATTAAGAATTTTTTTTTTTTTTAAATCAAGCTTATTAACAACTGAGAATTGTTTTTAAGCGAACACATTTGTTTAAATAAAGCAAGGGGCATACTTCATTCTGAATCAACGTTCAACTAATGCCCCAGCAGTGTGGTTGGTGATATTTCAGGTGCTGTCTTTTGGAAGCCAAAGAGTGCCCTGACAGAAAAATGCACCATTAAGAACCTACATCAACTTTATACAAGGAATAGGATGTTAACCTGGGTCCAATTTAAGCGATTACATTCTCTCAAGCTGAAAATACCCATGTACTTGCGTTTTTATGTTATTCTTCACTGTCTAGCTTAAAAGTAAATGTTACCGCATGCTTTTAAGAATTCATCCCAAAGGGACAAAAAAAAAGACATTTCTTGACATGCCACGTGTAAAATACTCTGGGATTATCATATGGAGAAGGCATCAGAGAAACTCATGTTGATGGCAAATTGTTACAGTGATACTCACGAGGCTTTGATGAGCAGTTTTTCCCTCTCCTTCAGTTCATGTTTCAGACTTTGTACCTCAACCTTTAGCTCAATGTTCTAAAAGATAAAATTCAGTAAGAAGACAGTTAGGCAAGATGCCAACAAAACAAAATTAATCTGGTACATTAACTGCTGCTCTTTTCTTCTTTTTACAGGCAATTAACAAATTAAAAAAAAACAATTAGAAAAGGATGAAAATGGGAATTTCTGACTTTTGACCTGCAAAAGAGTCCTTATTTTGCAGTTCTCCAACATCTCTAAAGCTTCTGAAAACCATGATGTTCAACCACAAATGTCACATAGTTATTGTCTGTATTTTCTCAACCACACTTGCAATTAATTTTGTTATACTTCAAACCACTTCCTGCTTTCAGACTGAACTGGCAGTATTGTCAAAACCATGCGAACAGGAAAATGTTTACAACTATAAAAAATAGTGGGCGAAATGCTGTCTGGGATTGTTGATCAGCAGCACCATATCAATTTTAAAAGATAACTGCTAAAAGATTGATAAGGGGAATTTCAGGATAGTCATGCCTTAGCCATATGCAGGACATTCCACTAGGGTCACACTTTTGCTTCAATATAACGAAAACCCCTCCCCAGGTGCTGACATGTTACCTGCTTTGATGACTTCTTGGCCTCTGTATAAGCCTCTCATTTCTATTCTCCCAACTTTGGTGCAAAGGAACAAGACTAACAATTAGGGAGAAATAAAAGAGCTCTCTCTAAATGCTTATAATTAGGACCTACCAAATTCATGGATTTCTGTGAAAACTGTGAATGTGGTAGGTCCCCTGTGAAAAATCCTGGTTCCTGCAAAAAAGCATAGGGCCGTGAAAAAGCTGTGTGCGTGTGCGTGTGCGTGTGCGTGTTGGGGGGAGGAAGGGGTAGGCAATTCTACACAGAAAAGGGCAGGAAGACCTGGCATCCTGGAGCACAGGGAGAGGGTGCATCTGTCAATCTCCAGGGAAGGACAGGACTTCTGGAACAACTCAGCCAGTCAGGGGTGTGGGGGGGGACCCGCCACACTGCCACAAAAAACAATGCCCAATGTTGCACCAGGACTGTGAAATTTGGAGGCAGCCTCCGTGAATTAGGTAGGTCCCTATTTATAATGAACCAATGAGCCACGGATGGACTGGCACAGCAAATGTTTCAGGCAACATATTAAAAAAAAAAAAAAAAAAAAAATACTGATGAGACAGCATAAGACACCAGACAAGAATTTCAGGAATTAAATAAGCTCTTCCCAGGAACATTAGCAGCAGAAGAAGAAACACACAAATGTACACATGTTGCAGCAGCCAGGGAGCTTTCTAACAGTGTTAAAGGCACCCAAGGCAAAAGCAAAGGGCTTGAGTCCATCTCCCTGATGACAGGGATCAGTTGTTGCATCAGAGGTCTAAATCACAGTAACTTACTCCTTCCATTCTATTCAGGCTATAATTTAAGTTGCATCTGCCAAAGATGCATACCCACTTGAAATGCAACAACCGCCATCTCTGAATTTCGCCCAGAATTGCAAATATTGATAACACTCATTCCCAGAGTGTGGAAGAAAGAGTAGCTAGCCTTTAGAAGAAGTAAGAAGGTGTAATCATTGTATGCCTGGCTTTAAATTTCAATACCACTTTGATCGGTCTGGAAGGTTATATCACGAGCAATGACAACCATCAGCGATGCAACTAAATGAGAAGTATCCACTCATCACAGTAACATGCAATTTAAATTAAGCATTAGGAGAAGGGGGAAGCTCCAATTTATTCTTCTAATAATTTGCTTCATGTTAGCTAGTACTGAAAAAACTACAATCAAAATTAATCTTTCACATCTTATAAAGGTTGTTTTAATCCCTTTCTTACCACATATAATTAGACTGGAATAAAATGAAATGGCTATATTGAAATGTCCAACACTAAAGCATGAATATCAAGCAGATCTGGAACTTGGAGACAGAGGAAACTATGGCAGGACTGTCCAACTGGCAGCCCACAAAGAGTTAAGTTGCAGTCCCCAGCTCCTGCCCAGCTGCCACTCCCCCATCACTTGGCTGCAACAGGC